CCAAACCTGACAGGTACCCTATTCCGCATGTGCAGGACTTCCACCACAAACTTCATGGCAAGACAATCTTCTCGAAGATCGACTTGGAGCGTACCTTCCACCAGATCCCTGTAGCACCTGCAGATACCCAGAAGACAGCCATCACCACTCCATTCGGACTCTTCGAGTATACCTACTTTCATGAGTTTTGGCCTACGCAATGAGGCACAGACTTTCCAGAGGTACATGGACCATATGCTTCGCGACCTCAATTTTGTCACAGTCTACATCAGTGGTTCTCAACCTTGTTTGCCCCATGCACCCCTTTCACCATATGTCAGAATGTCATTCCCCCCTCCTTTCCAAGATTGTCTGCCTCAAAAAGTGCATTCCAAATAATATGCATATAATACTGAAAATCCTTTATTTTTTCCATATTAGTATCAGTTCCCCCTGAAAACCTGAGGGGAGAAATTCCCCCCTGGTTGAGAACCCCTGGTCTACATAGACGACATCCTCGTCGCATCTTCGACGTCTGTCGAGCATCATCACCACCTACAACTCATCCTCCAACGCCTGCAGAACAACGCCTGCAGAACAACAGAGTCTCGCCTAGTGGCATCCAACTCCTACCACAGAAGATAACTGTCATCAGGGAGTTCCCCAAACCTGAAACGGCGAAGAAACTCCGAGAATTCCTTGGTTTAGTCAACTACTACCATCGCTTCATTACCAACGCTGCCACCGTCCTAGTTCCCCTCTACAACCTTCTCAGGGGACTCCAAAAGAAGTCTCACATGCCTCTCGTGTGGACTCAAGAGGCTGTTACGGCATTCACCGCTATCAAACAGCACATCACACGCCTTACCCTCCTAGCCTACCCAGCACCTAACGCCCGGACCACTCTCACAACAGACGCTTCTTCTACTGCAATGGGCGCCATCTTACAGCAGGAGATCAAAGGAGTTCTCATGCCCGTTGCATTCTTCTCACAACGACTTCAACCACCACACCTCAAGTACAGCGCCTTTGATCGAGAACTCCTGGCCATATTCCTGGCTGTCAAGCATTTCCAGCAATTCCTCGAGGCCCGTCAGTTCACCATCTTCACTGATCACAAGCCCCTCGTCCACGCCTTTACTTCAGCCTCCCAGTCACATACACCTCGTGTCCTGCGCCACTTGGCGTATATCTCGGAGTTCTCCAGCGACGTCGAACACATTAAAGGCAGCCACAACGAGATCGCAGACGCCCTCTCTCGTTGAATATCCAACATTCTCCCCTCATCCTCACCCATCGATTACGAGCAACTCGCCGCGGCTGAAGAAAATGACGAAGACCTGGCAGCATACAAGACATCTCCCTCAGGCCTCACACTCCAAAAACTCCCAATCCCCGGCACGAACATCAAATTATGTTGTGACATATCCTGTGGGCAGCCTAGACCGGTCGTGCCTCACGTCCACCGCCGCGCTGTTTTCGACAGCATCCATGGTCTCAGCCACCCGGGTGTGCGGGCCTCCCAGCACCTCCTCATGCAATGCGTCGTCTGGCCCGGCATCAAGACCGATACTAAGAAATGGGATGCCCAGTGCTCCAAAATACATCGTCACACACGGGCCCCTTTAGAAACCTTCCCTATACCCAAAGGACGTTTTCAAGTAGTGCACCTCGATATAGTGGGACCTCTTCCATCATCCTGCGGTAACACCTACATCTTCACCTGCATCGACCGTTTCACCAGGTGGACAGAAGCCATCCCCATGCCCAATGCTTCAGCAAAGTCTGCCGTCTGCGCCTTCATGTCCGGTTGGGTTTCTCGCTTCGGCCCCCCGGCTACCGTCATCACCGACCGAGGAGCCCAGTTTGAGTCACAACTTTGGCACAGCCTCATACAGTTCCTCGGCACGACTAGGCAACGCACCACCGCATACCACCCTCAATCCAACGGCATCGTAGAGCGGTTTCACCGGCAGCTGAAGGATGCACTCAAGGCACAGCACGACCCTTACAGCTGGGCGGATGTGCTACCCTTAGTGCTCCTCGGCATCCGTGTTTCACACAAGGAGGATATGGACTGTAGCCCAGCAGATCTCACTCTAGGCGAGCCCCATCGCCTACCCGGGGATTTCTCACTCCCTCCTGACCCCCACCAAGCCACTCCTGCCGTTCGTCACGACTTACTCCAAAGGCTACGCCAAGCAGTATCTGCATTCAGAGCTACTGCTCCACGCCAGCCTCCTTGGCGCCCTGAACATATCCCTCCTGTGCTACTCACAGCCGAGTATGTTTTCGTTAGGCATGATGCTTACAGCAACCCACTACAACGCCCCTACAATGGACCCTTCCAGGTTGTTACCCGTTTAGCGAAGTTCCTGACGATTATCCGAAATGGCAGACACGACATCGTCAGCATAGACCGAGTCAAACCGGCCACCTTACCCGTTAAGCCCCCGACCCAGCAGCACCACCAACAAACTACACCTGCACCAGTCTACCCGCAGTTGCCACCGGCAGCAACACCCAGCCCACGACATTTCTGGGCACCCTCTTTTCACTCTCAGGTACCCCCAGCTCCTGTCCTGGACCCTGCTGCCGTAGTAGAACCTACTCCTATCATTGACCCTCCTGTCGTGAACCCTGCTGCTGTCATAGAACCTGCTCCTGTCATGGACCCTCCTCCTGACGTCGCCCCTGATCCAGTCAACCCAGCCAGTGCCCCTGAGGACACTGCCCCAGCCGCGATTGAAGCACAACAACCATTGCCTGCACAACCGTCTCTAATCCACAGCCCTCCTTCTCCCCCTGATTCTCCCACAGGTTCTGTTTCACTGGACGGAGTCGTCACCCGTAGCGGCCGAGTCGTCCACACCCCTGCCCGTTATGTCTCACATGTGAGATACAACCCTGCTGACAAGTCTCCTGCAGCGCCCGGAGGGGAGGGGAAGTATTGTAGTGGATCTCTCCCCTACAACTACATCCGCATTCCAATGCGACAGTATCGTAGCAACACGGGGGGGGTCGCCACCTGCTACGTCTTCCCTAGCAAAGGAGTCAAGAAACCGGCGAGTTTCCATCGGTTTACTTCCGGCTGCTGAGTATATAAGCTCGCAGTCTCTCCATTGAGATTCATTGTACCCTACGTTCCTGAACACGCAACATCTCCTCTAACGAAGCTCCTGCACAGATACCTCCTCAAGCAAGCTACTCACTGAACGTGTCTTCTGAGCAAGCTTCTCGCCACACGGCATCTCCAGCACCAGACTGTCTTTCATATAATATATTTTATATAAGAAAACCACCACCATAGAGTTTCCATCAATCCCATCCTGAGTGCTAGACAACATAACATCACGAAACCCTACAGTATCATTATTATGTTTCGCTTGGGGTTTTGTTCTCTCTGGGTAAGTAGTATTACTTAAAGCTACAGCGTTGTGCAGACAATAACCTAGTTGAAAAAACTGATCATACAAGGGAACAATTTGTTAAACTGATTGAAAATAATTATTTCCAGTTCAGGAATAATCAGAGATACAACTTAAGACACCCAGAGCTACTACCCCCCCCACCCCCACCCCACTCAGTCCCAGACCTCCATAATATATCATGGTGTGAAGGTGTGGAACAACTTACCCCCACACATCGAAACAAAGACTACGCTCCCTTCCTTTAAATCATGTCTTAAAAAATATCTATTGTTTAAGTATTAATATTTTTATAATACCTACTTTATATTCCTACATTTATTGTACCACCAAAACCGTTATATCAAAATTGTCATGTAGAGATAAAAATTACCATTGAAATAATTATATATTTGCCGACAAGATATGATACTGACAGTATCTCTCCTCTTGTTTACCTTAATACAACCCATGTTGTATTGCTTCCCTCCCTTATCTTATTACTGTTTATCAACTCCACTGTAAAATATGGATATACTTATAATATAAATGTAAAAAAAATAATAATAAAATTAATAAATAACGAAGTGATAACCGCTGTAATATTCTGATATGTTCTTGCTAGCACCATGCCACGTGTACTATTCCATATGAAACTAAATGTTACATAATACTTCCTTTAGATAAATGTACAGTATACTGTATAATTATCAGGTGCCATTTAGAGACCTCAGGCTCTCAACAGGCTCAGCCATGTCAATATTGTTATTATTATTTATTAACTCTGTATCGGTATTTTTCTGACTAAATAAACTGTTTTAATATCAATATATCAATATCACTAACAATCAGGCATGCTGTGTTAAGCTACAGCACCTATTTCTACTCCTACTAATTAATCACTTCTATCCACCTTTTGTCCTTCCACTGACCCTTTTCACCCCTGTCACGTGTGATTTATGTAGGTATGTATGTACCAATCACGTCCGTCGTTAAATGACCAATACGCATTAATCTATAAGTCGTGATACTTCTATTACGATGGTACCGTTTGGAGACACGGGTTACCACAGGGGGTGTAAGAACACATTTCCGCAACTGTACCAAGGCCTTCCATTGAATTATGCATAGATTACTCTCGATTAATATTTATATTGAAAAGTGTATCTTAAGATTCAAAAATTAAAAGTGTCAGTGGTGAAGATATTTAGTAGGACCTCGTCTTTTTACCTAGCGTATTTTTATGGGGTTGCATTTGTTTAACTTTTTCCGACACCCGGACTTCCCCCACAATGCAATATGGTAAACAAACGATGATGTAGTATCATATGCTTGGCCGTTATTGTTTTTGAAGCATCTACAGTAATCTCACTTGATAATTTCTGTTTCCCGTACTAGGAATAGAGCCATATTCACTCAGAGCATATTAAAATAAATGAACATTGATTTAAAAACATTTCACCAGATCTAAGCAAATGAAGAACACTTATTAGCTGAGTACAAGGATATTGTGAAGTATTTCTATGCTTCCCAGAGTTAATGTTGTAATTATGCTTATATTGAGCAAAAAGCACTAACGTGTTGACTTATGTAGAGGTAGATAATGGGTGTCACCTTTTTGTTGTTGCTGCTGGCCGTGTGCTGATGGCGTTGACGACAACGCTCAATGTGTTGGTGCATAGCCAGACGGATCTCCGGAGTGTGCTCGCTCGCCTCACCCCACCACCTGTCGTAAAAAATTAAGAGTTAAATGTAAATATAAATGTAAATATTTATTTACAATAGTATTAGATTATTAAATTGGTCATAATCTTACGTTCCTAGTAATTCGGACAGTTAACAAAGTAAGAAAGAAGCTTATTTTCGGGGGCAGGTTAGAAATGGGCGGAGCCAAAATTAGTTTCAACTAGGCGCAATTCTTTTAATTTTTTTCACGCCATACGCTTTGTTTTAGGTCCTATCCAATATACTACCATATATAGGATTATTTTTATTATTATATCACAGTTTTTTATTGCCTTACATGCTCTCAACTCTTCAATATTAATCAAAATATTCTCCATAAGCGGCCATGATCCGCTTATTTTCAGTGGGAGAAATCGCTGATTGGTTGTTAGCTATTTGAACCGCTTGAGCGCTGCACAAAGCTACCGCCTGATCGAGGTGTTAGCTTTTCCCGGTGAATGTGTCATGCATACAAGTCAAAAAAGCAGCGTCTGCTCATACAGAATAGCTTTAGCGTTAGCTAATCTGTGCATCGAAAACGCCTTTCAATAAACGCCCAAGGCACGTGACAGTGCCTAGAAGGACGCCAGATTGCAGGGTAACGCCTTTGTCCCTTCATTGTACTGTATATTTAAATGAGGACGAAATTACCCGCAGCTACTTCCGACAGGACGGTGCTACAGCACACAGCTCGTATCTCCATGAAACTACTGCGTGATGTGTTCGGGGACAGAATGATTTCAAGGGGCATTTAGTCACCACGGTAGCCAGATCTTACATCTCCTGATTATTAACTGTGGGGAACAATGAAAGGCATAGTTTACAAAGACAATTCTCACATTCTCCCTGAACTGAAGGAAGACATCGCAAATTTCATCAGGAACATCTCTCCGGTTGAATTGTCGCGTATCTTTGCAAACAAGATAAGACATGTACTGTAGATGCGTGTCTTTAGGCTCGTGGATGCCATTTCCAACATTAGTTATAACTTAAGTATGGGAAATGTATTTGTGTTAATTTACACAGACTATGAATATATTCATTGTCTATGGTAGGTGCATAGTGACCTTTGGCTTACCCTGTATATAAGCAAATATAAAAATTTCGTGACAAAAACGTATTTTTGGGGGGTGGGGGACGGGGGGGGGGTGAATCAGGGAAATTTGACCCAGGAGACCTGTCACCACTACGCCAGAGACCATCACAAACTTTCGAGGAGGAAAGATGTACCAGCCAGTGCCGGATTTAGACCAGTGGAGGCCCATGGGCGGCCTCTTTGTCGAGGCCCCCCTCATTATAACTACCCAAGAAGGTGAGGTGGTGAGTGAAGCGAGCCTAAACACCTGGGAGTTCCGGGGGGCGTTGTAAGCCCCCCGGGAAAATTTTGAAATTTGAACACTTCTTTGGAGAATTTTGAAGCCATATGCAGTTATATTGAGGAAATTAGAACATTGAGAAATTTTTAATTAACTGTATATTTATTGATAGTATACAAATTCCCAAAACACACACACACACACAAAAGTGAGACATGACTGGAGTCATTCATGTGATTTCAAGTCGACCATCCCTGATATGTGGAGGCCCCCAGATTGTGGAGGCCCCTGGGCAGCTGCCCACTTTGCCCACTCCTGAATCCGGCCCTGGTACCAGCTCCCTTCCTACCCATTAGATATTATATATTCTAGTAACTTTTAACAGCCGATATTATTTCTATTTAAGTTTATGTATTGTGTGTATATCAAGACTTATTAGGAAAATGAAAATCCATCAAACCTAAAAGTTATTATAGCATAGATATCTCCAGCCCCAAAGCAGTTTCCAGAATGTTTCATCGTAAAAAGCTAAGATCATCTACTGAATATATTTTGTTCTATTTTCCGAGTAAGATTTTAGGCCAGTGGTTCTTAACCTGGGGGGCGCGCTCCCCTAGGGGGGCGTCAGTAATTTCCAGGGGGGACGCAAGCCCTAGGGAAAGAGTAGGAATTTCTCTAATTATAATTATAGTTTTTATTCTCTTAATAAGAGCGTGGGCTAATACTGAGAAGTTTATGAAAAAATGCAAAAGTATCGCCTTATAACTTTAGTTTTCTATAGGCTACTTTTTTGACTTAGGGCTTACCATTTTCTGACCTTATTGACCCCCCTCCATATCCCTCAAAATCCATGGGGGGGGGGGCGGAGGGGGGGGGTTAACTCGTCCTGGACCTGTATACTGCTCGTTGGTGACTGGTGAGCCCCTTTCTCTCCCAGTCTTCTGCACACGTCCGTGGCAATAATTCCTCTTCTCTCACATTTATTCAGTTAAGGCTGTTGAGGTATGTTTTATCCCAGTTGTTATATTTACCTAAAAATAGTAAGCAGCCATAAGTTTATTGGTGAATTGTGAACCCGCATGTGTTGCTCTGTTTGTTATTCGCAAGTTTTGAATTCCGTTTGTATTTTATCAGAAGTTGGTGGTGCTTAAAATCATGTGGTGGTAACAGGTGGTTATGGTAAAGTTGTATTTATGATGATATTGATTTGTTTCTTAATAATCATGTGTTTATGATCATGATGTGTTTACTATAATGTTGTGGTGTTTGTTAATATTTACTTAATAATTATGTGGTGGTGTTTATGATCATGTAGTGGTGCTTATGATCATGTTGTGATCATTGATGTTTGTTAATAATCATGTGGTGTTTATGATCATGTGATGTTTGTTAATGATATGATAGTGTTTATGATCATGTATGATTGTAGTCACTTGTAGTGTTTTCGAACTTTACGATCATATGTTTGTTATTGATCATGTTCGGATCCACGTATCTTTGTGAAGCTGCATTTTCCACGCTCGTTGCTGTCAAGACCAAGTACAGAAACAGGCTGAACGTTGAAGGGGATTTACGTTGTGCACTCTCTGGCATTCAACCACGCATTCAAGATCTAGTAGCTAAGAAGCCGTGTCAAGTATCTCACTAATTTATACTCAATAAAAAGACTAAAAACACTTTATTTTTCATTTTTCTTTAAAATCTGGGAGGGAATTTTATTCATAGATGCAAGGGGGGCGTGGAGGGAAGGACCAATTCCTAGAGGGGGCGTGGAGGGAAGAACCAATTCCTAGAGGGGGCGTGGAGGGAAGAACCAATTCCTAGAGGGGGCGTGGAGGGAAGAACCAATTCCTAGAGGGAGCGTGGTAGTAAAAAGGTTAAGAACCACTTTTTTAGGCGATCTAAACCTGACTTTATATTGTCACCGCTGCTAAGATGCAGGGTTAATTTAGTTGGGATATTGTTTTGGTCATTAGGTGGTATGAAAGGATCCACAGAATATAGCATATACTTATTATTAAGATGGCATTCGAGAAAATCTGTCGTCCATTAACACGGTTTAAATATATTATAGTTCCTTTGTTATTTGTTTATACCAGGGTATGCCATTGAATTAGTCCATATATTACTCCCTTATAATTATTAGAAAGCAAATATAAATAATTTGTAGTTTTGATAATGTAACAGAGGCGATTTTTTAACTGCAGTGAAGTAAGGCCTCTTATTTATACTTCGCATATTACCACAGGGTTTGCAGTGCTACCCCTAATAATTTATTTGCATAAACCACTATTCCAAAATTCCTGACACCACCTGTCATATAAACAACAGATTTTAATCCACAAATTGTACGTTAATTATATCTACTAGTACAGTTTATTACATGAATCTGGAATTTTATTCTGGGTGCAAAAAGTGCAAAGAAAGCTGGAAGTCATGTTTCAAACATGTAACAGATTGATTACAAAAATAGCTGTTGCCAAGCTGAATTTTCATCCAAAATCTCGTTATTCAGAGTGGCGGACAAGATGGCTTCCAATAGAGATGAGACATGTCTCATCTTCTATTGATGCTACAAATGCAATTATATAGTTGGAAATGGAATTTTCGGTGTAAAAAATAATAATAATAAGATGCAGAAATCAGGAATTAAGACCGTACAAAAACATTCATAAGATATTTCGAAATGGTTGATTAATATTATCTATTGGGCAAGACTGAATTTCCGCTCCTTTGATACTTCAGCCATCATCCACAGATCCTAGCTTCTTACCTAGGAAATCATGAGTGTCCATAACTGATACGACTACTATCTCACAGAAACTGTGTACCAAATGCAGCACAATTCTCAGCTCTGCTTCTTCAAGTGCTGCTTTCAGCAATGTCACGTCATTTGAGAAGTTTGTTGATTTTACTTGTTTCATCGTCAAGCCCTCCTACCATAACCACTTCAGCGTGCGAGTTATCTTTCTTGACGATTTGTGAGAGGAAACGTACCAAATCCTACTTGTTTTCTGAAACGGCCAGGAAGATTTTCCAGTTCTTTGAGAGAGACATGTGGTGTCCCTCGATGGTTATTTTTATTGGATGGCAGGTTGCAGTGTGTCGTTCCCGTGAAGCACCTTTAATTGAATGAGGCGTGTATCGATCAAAGATGACATCGATGTGGTGGTAGTTGCTACCTGACCTAGCTTGGGGAAGGACGTGCCCCTAAATGCTCGCGTTAGTGACCAAAGAAAATGGCCGCCTTGGATCATTGTGTTTTGGGGGAAGAGGAGTGGAGTGTGAGGAAGGACGACCTCCTGGCCACTCTATTAAGTCAGCTGGAGCAGTTGAGGAGTGAGATTGACGCTTTAAAGGGGGAAAACGAAGCCCTCAGGACTGAACTCCTTCAGGTAGGTGTCCTGCCTAGCAGGACACCTGCGAAGGAGGAGCAGGCATGGAGAGTGGTTGTCTCCAAGGGGACTAGGGTGAGACTCAGGAAAGCTGACCAGGGTGTGGAGTGCAGTAACCCCTACCAGGTGTTGGAGGAAGCTGGCGGGGAAGAGAAGAGGAAGGACGAGGAAGAGAAGAGGCAGGACGGTGTGGTGCAAGGAGAGGAAAGGGCAGTTGTACAAACCCTGCCCAGTGGTAAGGTCGTGGTAGTTGGGGACAGCCAGGTGAGTTCTTAGATAGGACTTTTTGT